CCCCAAAACCCCAAAACCCCAAAACCCCAAAACCCCTATTTAATTTTAGGTTTGAAAATTCGCAGTGGAGATCTTTCTTGATGCTCTAATTTGTCTCTAAAATTGTGACCTTGTTCTAAATTAAAAATAAATTCATAAAAACAAAAGAATTCTAAATTTTTAAAAACTAAAGGGATTTATCATAAAGTTTTGAATTTTTCATTATGTTTGAGGATGAGAAATTGCTTTAACTCTTATCATAAGAAATAGCAAACAAGGATATTAATTTTTTTAAATTTGCATGTTTATTTGTAAACGTTAAGAAACAATTTCAGGTTTATGACAAGCTTCATCAAAAACAACAACTAAAAGTTTCACCTTGTCTCGAATTCTTACCCAGATAAAATTGTGCGTTTAAAATTAACAACTTATACCATGATCTTCCATTATTTCCACTCAATCATTTGCTATCTTTATCTGAAAATTTCCCTCAAAGTTAAAACTAACCAACAAGACACCCTATCTCTAAAATTAGTACTATCATTCCCAAATTCAACTAATGTTAAAGTTTCTTCTACAAAGTTTCTAAAACTCAACTTTTTCACACAAAATACCTTTCCTAATAAACAATCTATTCTTAGGAATTGGCGAGTAACCGGAGGCAGGGTTAAATCAGAATGATATCAATTTAGATTTACACTTAGCCAAAGCTGGCATAATATACTCTAAGATATAGGAGAGCACCATTATTTTAGAGAGAAAGTCTTCTTGTGTGCTTGTATGCTATCTTAGCGAGAAGAATTATACTCTATTGCTGGTCCTTGGTCTTCTTGAAGAAATGGGTTATTTAGTAAAACCAGAAGCGGACTTCATGAATAGAAAGATTGCAATAAGTAACCAAATAACTATCAGAAGCTGTTAGAGAACAAAAATGGCCATGGTTTGGTGTACAGAAATAGTAAAATTCTATGTAGAATAAATTGAGGCATTACCTTCCAACTCATTAAGTCTATCTTCAAAATGTTTTTCTTTCTCTAAGTTTTCTTTTTTGTTAATCAATTTTCTCTAAATTCTCTATCTTTAAATTTATTCAGAAGAGCTGGACTTTCAAATTACTGCTGGCATACTTAATACTCATCGTTAATGAGAGACAGATCATAAGACACGCATAGAGCTAAATTAATATTTAATCGAGATAGAAATATAATCTAAAGAAAGCTATGTCATATTATCACCCATATTCAAAATCTATTTCAATTAAATTCTAAAAGAAGGGGTTTTGGGGTTTTGGGGTTTTGGGG